CCCGCCAGCCATCAAACGCCAGTCCCTCCAATTGCCAGCCACGGCAGTGCTTGGTCTCTCCAATCCCCAGCCCACCAAACTGCGGTCCGGTCACCCAATTGTCGAGGAACCCCAACAATCGGGTGACTAGGATCCCATTGATTCTAAAATCCTGGTTGCAGTGTCTTTCCAGTCTTTGGGGAGCAGAATGGTTTACTGCAACAGATAATTTTTTTGCACAAAATTGAATCTTGTAAAAATTTTTGCAAAAAGAAAAAACTCATCAATCCCAACCTAAACTAACCTAACCTAACCTAACCTAAATTAACCTAACCTAACCTAACCTAAACAAACCTAACCTAACCTAAACTAAACTAACCTAACCTAAATTAAACCAACATAAATTGAACTCACCTAAGATTGCTGAAATTTTGCAAAAAAAAATCATCTGTGGCAGGAAACCATTCTGATCTTCAAACACTGCAAAACAGGATTTTAGAATCAATGGGATCCTAGTCACCCGATTGTTGGGGTGCCCTGACAATTGGGTGACTGGACCGCAGTTTGGTGGGCTGGGGATTGTAGAGACCAAGCACTGCCCTGGCTGGCAATTGGAGGGACTGGCGTTTGACGGCTGGCGGGTGCATGACCGTGAATTGAACGGTTGGCGGCTGACCGGACACGGTATGTTTGGAGCCCCAAAAAGAATTTTAACCAATCGCGGGACAAACTTTGTAAGTAGTGTGTTCCAAGATATGGCTAGCTTCCTGGGAGCTTGGGCAAATACAACTACAGCCTATCAACCCCAAGGTAATGGGCAAAACAAAAGATCCCATCGCAAATTACACGAATACCTGGCGCTCTATCTTGATCCGGAAAATAGAAGTACCTGGGATGAACTACTCAAACTAGCAGCATGGGTCCATAACAGCTCTAAACACAAAGCTCTACAAGCCTCTCCCTTTGAGATAGTAACAGGAATGAAACCAAGAAGAAATTGGCTTTCCAGTCAACAAAACTTGGAACAATTCCAAAGCATAAGAGAATATTATGAGGTGAAAAGGGAGCAGCTTGAATCCTTAAGAGAACAAGCCCAAACGGCCATTAGAAAAGGCCAAGCTTCGTATTTAGAACGGTTAAATGTACACCGGAAGGGAACAGCCTATAACGTAGGAGACAAAATTTGGCTTAAACAACATCCCCTCTCCTTTGTGGGAAAGAAATGGAGCGCCAAATACAAAGGTCCCTACACAATTATTGAAATTGTTAATCCCGTCGTAGTGCGCATTCGAGATGACCAGCATAGTAGCTGGACCAATGTAGTTCATACTAGTTATATTTGACCTTTCCAAATCCGGAATGCAGATTCTACTAACTTGGATACCAACCTAGAAATTGAGGAAATAGAAGACTTTGATGAAGTCGAACAAAAGGTTTTTCCCAACGCGCAACCCAAGAAACGGTCTACTCCATCACGCAAACCAGAAAAACCCGTTGAAAAAACGGATGACGACGAAATCACCCAACCATTGATGGAGAATGAGACTGAGGGAGTAGAAGCAGAAATTCCTGAAGAGCCCGAAGAGGTAGCCAATAAATCGGCTGCTTTCGATGTGTCTGCTCCTGACATGATGTGTTGGAAAAAACTTCGGCATGCCGACAATTTGGCGCCAGATTAATTTTAAACGACAGTCTTTCCCGAAAATTTCTAACAGCTTATAAAAATTTTTGCAAAAAGAAAAAACTCATCAATCCCAACCTAAACTAACCTAACCTAACCTAACTTAAACTAACCTAACCTAACCTAACCTAACCTAACCTAAACTAACCTAACCTAAATTAAACCAACATAAATTGAACTAACCTAACATTGCTGAAATTTTGCAAAAAAAAAATCATCTGTGGCAGGAAACCATTCTGATCTTCAAACACTGCAAAACAGGATTTTAGAATCAATGGGATCCTAGTCACCCAATTGTTGGGGTGCCCCAACAATTGGGTGACTGGACCGCAGTTTGGTGGGCTGGGGATTGGAGACACCAAGCACTGCCCTGGCTAGCAATTGGAGGGACTGGCGTTTGACGGCTGGCGGGTGCGCGACCGTGAATTGAACGGCTGGCGGCTGACCGGACACGATGCTATCAAAACTCCCTGGGGAATGAGGCTTGCCAACACATGGGAGCTCCAGCCATACTCCTTCCTGTCTGCGCCACAGCCAACCTGCCCCAACAATCTAAGACTGGCCACTGACAAACCTTCTTCTTCTATCCCTCAGAATTCCAAAACCTCCTCCCCCTGTCCCTGGTTCCACCTTGAGACCTGGTCAGGTGACACATGCCACCCAGAGATGCCAAAAGCCAATTGGGTAGCGCCCTGGACTTTGCCAGAGAGGATCCAGGTAGAGACGTCACCCCCAAGGACAACAGACAACAAATGCAAACAGCCTCTTAAGCCATGCTGTTGCCCAACCTTGTCCAAAGAGGACAATGACCAATCTGCTTCTATCACCAGTGTCAAGCTTGAATCTCCAGCTGCCAGCGAGTCCAACTCACACTGTCAGGCCTCAGCCAAGGCCAGACATGACAACACCCAGAAGCAATGTTGCTTCCTCTCCAGCTTGTCCAGCAGCTTGTCTGCTCCAAAGGGAACGCCTGAGATCAAGCCCAAGGAATCCCCACTGGCAATGCCGCTTACCGGCCAGGGACCCATCATGGATGACAATGACGGACAACATCAACACCTCATCACACTGCTTCCAGGAGGACCATCAGTGCCCCAAAAGATGCTTTCAACATCCCATGCACTACAGAAATCAGTGGCCTCTGCTCCCAAATTTGTTTGCCACTGCTGGCACCTTTCTTTTCCCAGGGGGGTAGAGGAACTGCCACTGCTGGCCATAGTGTCATGCGCAACACCTGTCATTTGCAAATTTGACTGTTTTGTACATTTGTGTTAAGAGGCCAATGTCTGACACAATGACTGCGTGCGCATCAGCCATCTTTGCATACATTGAGTAGGGGGTCTTGCTCAGCCCCAGTCTGTCATTCTGTGCCTAACCTCTGCTCAAGTTGGATTGACATGATACCTTTTTACATTGTGTTTGCTACTGGGTATCATTGAACAATCAGTGTTTGTACAGTACCTGTGTGTACATAATTATTGCGGAGTGTCAATTGTGACCCTCCTGCATGTTTAGACTACAAGTGTGAATAACTCTTACTGCTCTACCCTTGATCTTCATTATGATGTTGCCAGAGCACATGAGTGATCTTGATGCTTGCAAGACATTCCCCAGCAAAGAAATTTGAGCATATATGAACCCATTCAAGAATTGTCCATCCTGCCCCTGTCAGAAAGTGGTCTTACAAGTACTGTATCTTCTAACTAGTTCACTCTGCATTCAACTAATGTCCACATGAATGCCCCTAATAACCATTCAACTAATTCCCAAATGAATGCCCCACATGTATCTATAGTGTTGGCATTGAGTGTGGACCATTCATGAACCTAGTGAATGAATGGCACTTTGAACCTTCCCAAAAATATGCCTAAAATAAAAATTTCACTTCATCTAACTATCATAATTCAAATTTCCACATGTCAATCACCTACAGAACCCTTTTTGCATTGACAACTCTCAACTGTGAACTGGTTGATATACAACACTCAACAGCAGGCGAAGACTGTGTATACACATGAAAATCCACAAGTTCTTCCAGGATTGGAACCTGGGACCTCAGGAATATGCAAGATGAACCACATACATCAACAATTGATACAAAAGTTGTTCACTTTTTAGTTTCAACCAACAATTCAATTTCAATGATGTTTCAATGCAAAATATACCTGAATTTGTAGAACATCAGTGTGCAAGAACCCGTCAAGAAAGTTTTAAAGAGCAACAAAAGCAAGAAAAATAAAATGAGTTAAGCTGAAAAGTCTATGAAGTCCTTTTTCAGTTTTTCTTCCCATTTTTTAAATGTTATAAATTTGCCAAACAGTGATATATATAACAGGAAAAATATTTTACTTCTTGAATTGTATCTCATTTAATTTCAAACGTTTTGCAATGGAAGAAATGCTGAACTTTATAACTGTGAAACACCAATGTGCATTTCATACTGGAAATATTCTTGCAGGAAATACTGGAAATGCACCCAAATTAAAAGTTAGAATGAGATAAATCAAAATTTCAACTCCCCCCCTCCTTGCTCTAAAAGTTGAAAAAATTTTCATGTTGAAGCTACTACATTTAATATTTTTTCAACAGCAATTGAAGCCAATAATGTTTGCTGAAATTTCCAAATTTTAAACTTTAAAAAATTTCAAAATTGACCATTTGACAGTGTCAAAACTTTCCAGAAGTTCAGTTTCTTACAATTCACATCTTTTCAACGTCACTAATTTGTACAAAAGTCTCTGCGGCACCACATTTCAAAATGATAGCAGTGCTAAATTCACAGTGAATTTTGGCAATTTTAAAAATTGGGGTATGAAAAAAGTTGAAACCTGGAAAAGGAAATTAGAATTTCAAGAGGCCTTTCATTCTTCACTTTAGTTAAATGTAATTTTTGTAAAACTTGTTAATATAATAAGTTTCACAGATATATGTGTGCAATTTTGTTCCAGAAATTTAGGTATTTTTCACATTGAAAGATGTTACAAAATTCCTCAAAGAAAATTGAAGATGCAAAGTGTTTTTGAAAAATTTACTGCGAATTCAACCTTGTTACAATTTCGTGGAGTAAAAAAGTTTTTACCAATTATAGTGAAGTTAAAAAAATGGGGACCACCAAAACTCAACTTCGACAAAGTGTTGACACTTTGAGTCAAAACTCTGTCAATTTTGAAATTTCTCACGGAACACAGTAGGTTTCAAAGAATTTTTGACCACGGAACAGTTTCGTAACTTTCATTAGACATATTTATTGTCAGTGAAAAGCTAGGTGAATCAGATCTATCGCGAAGATAAACCTAGTTGAAGAACTGGGTAATAGATTCACGCGGATTACAATCACTGTGGTGCAGGTTGAAATAGTTTTTTCAAAGCCTATTTCTCGAATTTTGTTTCGTGAGAGCAGCAAAGCCTTCAAGGAGTTCTTATCACTAAATTCTCCATTACCTTAAAAAAAGAAGACTGCTTTACTCCCGCGGAAAGCTGCGTGATCCTGCAGAGCAGAAATGTTTACCCGAACACAACTCCGTCCCGTGAAAATTTCACACCTCATGTGCGAATCGCAATCCTCAAACACTGGCTCATTTTCGCGCAATTTGAGTCCACGGACTCAGTCTGCGAGACTTTCCCAACTCTCGCGGGAAGACTGGGACAACGCCGTGAGGAAGTTTCAAGAGAATACGGAATCACCCCGGGAATCTGTTTGGAAGAATCGACTGTCTGCTCTGGGCTCCACGATTTCGAAAACCGGCACTCAACTCGTTGATCGCGCAGACTCTTTCGTCAAGAGTCCCTATTTTGTATCAACTGTGGAGAAGTCTGTAAGTGTCACTCGAGATTTCGTGTCGAAAACCCGCGAAGTCGCGAACGAGGAGTACAAGCAGTTCACGCGCAACATCGCGGCCGTGAATTACCCGGACTTGAAGCGGCAAGTGGTGTCTAGTCCTCGTGAATACTTCATTTATGGTTCCCTCGTCGTGGCTCCGATCGTGTTCCCATCCGCATCTTTCCTAACTGCCTGGCAGTTCTATCCCAGTCTCGCCAACCTCCAGTTGATGTGGAGTGGAATCTTGGTGACTTACTTTGCCGGGATGCGGTTCGGACTGTCGCTAGTGGAGCTCGGAGTGCCGGACAGACGAGCAGTGATTTATTGCGGTGTTCCGTTGGTGATGTGTTGGGCTGCGATGCCGTTGCCCTTGCCCATGAGTTACTTGGGAGCCATGAGTGGGTTGTTTGCGTCTGCGTACTATGATCAGATCGGAGCAGTTTATCCCGAAACGTTTCACGCGCTCCGAGTGTTCTTCACTCTCGTCGCGATCGTTGCTCTTTCGGTGGGGCTGGTGGGAGCCGTGACGTGTGGCAAACGCGTTAATGCTGCCATCTCCGAACGCGCGATGCACTGACAAGTGTTTCCAAGCGTAACGGTTTCTTTTTGTTTCCTTTCTGGAGTTTTCTGCTGTGTTGTCGATCGCGTTGGTCAATGGATTTGTGTGATGATAGAGGAGTGAAATTTCGTTGGCTGATTTCAGTGATTCTTTTGCGTGAACAGTTTCACGGTTGTATCTTGATTTGTCTGAAAGTTGAAGACATTCCGGGAACATACAGTTGCACGTTTCTTTAGTTTAACGTAGATGTCGCTACCATTCCTCTCACGATATTATGGAATACTCTACCAGAACCCTGGATGACGGGACCCGCACATATTCCCGACTCGAGAGTTTCCGACGCCCCACAAGCAGTAACTCGGCTCCGCCCCGCTGGCGTACCCCCTCCCGGACCTAGGTCTTTCCTTGGGTGAGGTTCCCTTGTTAAAATCCTGAAAAGCATTAGGGATACCAGTTTGGTCCACTTTCATTATTTGTTCATTCTGATATTTTCATTATTGGAGGGGGTTAGGTTAGGTTAGGTTAAGTTAGGTTAGGTTAGGTTAGGTTAAATTAGCTTAGGTCAGGTTAGATTGTTTGGTTAGGTTAGGTTAGGTTGTTAGGTTAGATTAGGTTGTTAGGTTAGGTTAGGTTGTTAGGTTAGGTCAGGTTAGGTTGTTAGGTCAGGTCAGGTTAGGTTGTTAGGTTAGGTCAGGTTAGGTTGTTAGGTTAGGTCAGGTTAGGTTGTTAGGTTAGGTTGTTAGGTTAGGTTAGGTTGTTAGGTTAGGTGGTTAGTGGGCGGGGCTGCACGTGGTACTAGGGCACGATATCTAGGGTGCCCTAATGTACAGTAATATAGGTCTGGTAATGCAGTAGTAGTACAACATGGTGCATTTAATGCTGCACTTTAAAGGAGACATCAGTTTTGTTCAATTCCTGCAATGAATTGGCTGTGATTTCTCCAATCATCAGAGTTTAGTACATGGAATTCTTGATGGTTTTGGTAAATGTGGTGTCCTCTGAAGTTATCCGTATAATATACACAAACCTGACCTCATACAGTACAATACTTTTTCAACTTTTGAAGGTTGCACTTGAACAAAGCAAGACTGGAATCCTGGAATGCAGTAAGGACTTCTCAACTTGGTGACAAAGGGAAAAATGAGCTTTAAGAAGGTGACATGGAAGAGAAAGCAATGCTGGACTATTATAGTGGACTATGAGACTGCAAAAATTTCAGAAATCTTGAAGTGCATCTACCTGGGTGAAAGTGATCAACACAAGAAGTTGGAATGTAAATTGAGTAAAGTTTACTTGATGACTGGGGACAATAAGGATTTGTTTTCAATATTGTTCTTAGACTAAACTTTTGAAATACTGTATGGCATTATGGTAATTTTTGAAATTTGTTCTTACTGATGTATGCTATTTCTCACCATTAATATTTAAGAAATTTGCAATAGACTTTATTTAAGCTGAAAAGTTCAGTTCCTTCAATGAGCAAGGTTTCACAATATGCAAGCATAAGATTAATATTGATTCACTTCCTTCCATCATCAGCAGAAATATATACCAAGCCCTCCAAAATCCTGTTTCCCTAAATTTTCTTTTGAGTGAAAAGTGTTTAAAAGGTATAATTTAGGAATCATTTCTCAAAAGGAAGAAATGATTCCAAGGCTTTATTCTGAAATACACTTGCTCATATTTTAGTTAAGCACATCACTCAATTAGATAAAACAGGTTTTCAACAATTTCTAAATTTTTTTTCATCCCAATCATTTGGCAACACTTTGATACTATTCCACATAATCTCTGCAAATTTGAATGCACTTCCTTTATAAGCACAAAATTAAGGATCAAAAGAGTCCTATAAATCCATTTCCATCATTGATAAAGCAGTCAATAAATGGCAGTAATGCGGTTTTCAATGTTCTCAAAATCAATCTCTTTCAAATCATTCTTCACAGTTGGAAATGGTCAGAAGTCACAGGAAGCAATGCATTTTTATGAATTGTTTGTGGTTGAATCTTTTTTTTATGCATTTCTTTGTAATTGAAATTGAAGAAAAAGAACCTGTGTGTGTACAGTATGCTTGTGCAACTCCATGACACAGCATGAGACTAAAATTGTGAATCAATGATTTTACTCCACATATTTTTTTCTACCAAACAAAGGCTGAGGTAAGGAAGAAACCTCCTGGCAAATCATGTAAGTTTGGGCTGACAGTTTCCACTACATTTCAGCCCACCTAGTACAGTACATTTTTCACATCAAGATGCCCAAAAGTACCCACAAGAAAAGTAATTTTATTATATCTAACAACTCCAATTTTTCTCTGTCCAAAACCACACCTTCCTTCTCAATGGTCTCAGCTTATTTCAATTTTCTTGAGCTCTTGGAAATGTAATGCACAGGATGGAAGTGCTTTCATTTGAAGTTTAGGTACAGGTAAATACATTTTTAGGGGAATCAGGGTATTTAAGAGGGCTGAATTGCTTCCAAATTGTTTGAATACCTGGACATGCAGATTAGTGGGGCTTTCCATCCACAAGTTCTCAAAAATTAACTCAAGATGTCTTCCATACAAAACTCTTCCCCACTTGTACCCCCCATCCCATCACTCTGAATCCCCATTACTCTCTCCTCCCAGCACACCCATGATAGACTTCAAGGGTTTGGTTCACACTGCAATAAATGGTGTCACAGGACAACTTCTACACAGTGGAAAGGAGTCCACTTTTTTGCCATCAAAGTGTTACAAATTTTTAACCTCCAGCTTCTGCATTGATCATATATGATAGTGAAAACCTTCCTGGAGTATGGTTTGAAACATTTATGCATCATACAGCTCAACTTGACTGGTTGTGAGGACTGTTTGTCAATTTGATTTGAACAAAAATATAGATCCAAATTATAGGAGCACCTTGATGCAGGATTGGATTAAGGTGGATGCTGTAGTGATGCACCAGCATTATATAGTTCTACTAGTGGAATAATAGGACCCTGTAAAATAAAAATAAGCCAGGCATGGCATTTAAAATTGAAAAATGAATCTGAGGAAACATGACACAAATGAAAACCCAAGTAATAATTATCAGAAAATCATCAGAGATGAATGAAATCAATTCTGCCATACTGTGCATGAAAACTGGCAAATGAGAAAAAATCAGATCAGGGCATGAAATTGGTTGAGAGAGCACAAAACAATTGTTTTGCCAAGAAGGGAATTCAAGTGCAGAATTATCATCAAGACCTATGCAATTCTATCATTGCTGATCACTCTGTGTCATTCTAAACCTATGAAACAAAATTTTTGAACCCTCTGAAGCCAATCCCTTGCTTGAAATAATAAAATGCACAGCTGCAATGAAACTGATGTCAAGCAGGCCTCAGAAGAGGCCCTTGTCAAACCCACAATTGAACACAATTTGACAAATGCACTTATTGTTGAACCACATTTCACAAAATATGCCAGACATCTAAAAGACCTGTGGAACATCCCATAATTTTATTTAACAAATACGTAAAGAACTTATTTTTTCTCATGTGAAGTATGAAAACTTGATACACTGATTCCTGCATAAGGGAAGCATTTCCAATTCTTGAAGTCACTCATGTACAACCATGAGAAAGAAAAGTGTTGGGTACAGAAAGTTGGGGTCATGGGAGGTGCAGTGGCAAAGAGTTCTGCTCCAGCAAGATGGGGCTCCATGCTTCCTGTGGATCCAGGGAGTCCACCAGCATTGAGTAATAGTGATAGGTTAGATTTACAGAGAATTGATTTGTTTATCCCTCTCATGAGCAACTTTCAATCTCCATAATTTTCTAAATGATGGCAAATTGAACTGTGAGTTATAGGCGCTGCACTGGAACAACTGAACTTCTGCTTTATTCCTACATCAAAAATGAAGATTATCCGACCACATAAATGCAGCAGTTACCATATATGACATGATGGTTGGCATTGACTCAGTCCTTTCCAATACTGTGGTACTATAGCACAGTATTGGATTCTGTGATTCACAGTAGGGAGTGCAGGAAGGTGGATATTCGAACTTCCAATAAAAAGGAGTACATGTTTCTTCTCATAGAAATACATCAGTTCTAGATTGGATTGAATCCTACCTGTATTAGTTTGATGAAGTACAATTCTCTGCTGTTGGAGGATTTGGCCAAAGTGATGACAGGAATTTTTGATCAACTCAGGTATTCAGAGAGCATCTTACTATAATTCTCATGAAATATTGTCATTCTTAGACCTATTACAAAACTTCTCCAGAGCAATATTCTTTTTGCAATAGGTTTCTTATTGTCTCAAGAATATTGTTGTAGAGAGAGTTTTCTTTGTAATGATAGCAGTGGTATGTTACATATAAGAAATTTGTCAGTGCATCTCATAAACAAATTTTAACACTCATACATCTTCATTTCAAGTGACAGCAAAACAATAATCCATCAGTTTAGGAACTGGCCCTGAAACAAGTGACTTTCTGAGTTAATCCTTCTTCACAAATGAAAATCATTCAACCACAAAATTACTGCAAACATGGCTAGGATTGATATAATTTCCAACATTAAATAATCAACACAACCACCCCTTTTAAACCACACAAAAGTGGTTGAATGATTGGTGTCACCTTATTTGAAGTTCAAGTGAGTTTCTACAGAAGCACATCCTTCTTGACTCAAGAACCCAAGCAAGCTTATGGGGCTCCATTCATGTTATGAACTGTGTTCTCACAATTTTTTGTTGCATACACAAGCTGGGTCCTTGAATGGAGACACAATATGCGGCACATGCACTGTTCAATGAAAAAAAATGGGATTACATGAAAAAGAAAAAAATTAAATTGTTTATCAATTTGGAACATACACACATCAACAGAAATGGGAAACACAAAAGAGCCACAATGAATGATGGAGAAAATTTGTTGGAATGGAGAAGCAGGCACTAAAGGCCACCAATGTTGCCATCCTGGTTTTCAGAATCCTGCATGCAGGCTAGGAGTCTTGTAATCCTTGAAAAATATTTGATCAGAGAGTACATTTCATCAGAGTGTAATCAAGTCTGCTCACCAGGTGTACAAACATGCCAAATATTACCCATAACCATGCCTTCAACAAGCACATTGGCCAGTTTTTTAAAACATTGTGGAACCCAAAGTTATTTCTGCAAAGAAGTTGAGTTTGTTTCCTCCATGACTTTGATTATAGAATTGAAATTTGATTTTGCCAGTAATGCCTCCATCAGTCATGTCCCATATGGTGAACAGTCCACAATTTCTCCACTCAAAAATCCACAGCATCCAACACCAGCAAAGAATCCATGCTGAGATACAAAAAAAAATAACTTCAATCCCCAGAATTTCAAGAATCGTTCATTAGTTTCAGTACCCTTGTTAAGGTGCATTCTGTGAGCCAAAAAATGCAGTCCTGATGCATATAAGTGCTGGATGTCCTCATTCACACCTGATGGTAACCAATGATGAATTATTTTCTTAAATTTTGACCATTCCCATTGTCGCACCTTACTTGGATCTTCCATCATGTCCATCTTGGCTCATTCAGATCCCATTATTTGCAAAACAAGGAGCAGGAATATAAAACAGAACAATAACCAAGAGGACTCCCAAACATGTAATCTCAAACAATTTTCAGAAACAGTTGCATCATTTCCAAACATAATAATGAACAGGCTTTTCAGGACTTGACACTACCATGATCATTGAAATACCAGAATAATGTAGAATACAGAAAAAACTCAGTATCTGATTTTGGAAAAAGGAGGTGGATACAGTATAATACACCTAGAAAAGGTTTTTGAATGTTAAATGGATAGGACTATATTGAATACATATATACTGTCACCGAAAGATATAGTTACAGTGTCCTACTTCATGTGTAAAATACTGCTCTCTACTGTTGCAATTCCCGCATAGCAACTCCCTGCCCCGAAGCAGACGATGACATCGCGTGTCCTAGATACACTGTCTGGTTTGCGGTCATTTGCCCGGTCCCCTTTCTGTTTTCCTCGTTCTAGTTGCGCAGACGCGTCTGGTTTGTTCCGAATCTATAAAGGTACCACAAAGTGTGTATGTCAGCATTCATTGCTGATTCGACTCTTGTTGGTGACGCTCACAAAATATATACGTATTCACTTTACACTAATGAATATATATACATCCGGGTATATATATGTTTACAAAATACACTTAATAAATACACTTGTACCTCCAAACAAGGTTTTCTCCTTGCAGCTGTTCCCCTTTTTTTGAAATCTCTCTTCACACATCACCCCAGGTTAAACAGCATGATGCACTTTTGTCCTCTTTAACTAATAAAAATCCCCCTCACTCTTGACAGTGACAAATGTTATGCGTGCACATATCCTCACTGCCGCACCTCTGAAATACAAATTTCAGAGGTATATACGATGTACAACGGATTTGCATATATATATTGTTGTGTATCATGTTTCAGATGTTTTGCTTCATGTAGATGGGGATCGTTGTATCCAGTGGTATGTTGGCCTCATATATATTGCAAAGTCCCAAAACATTGGATTTGAGGGCCAACACATTTTTGTGTTTGGTTAATAGTTGATGCATCTTTTGGATCAACAAAGGAGGACATTTGGATTGTCTGAGATTTTCTTCTATCAGGGTTTCAATACCTTGATTTTCCAATTTTCCATGGATCCTTTCCTTGGTCTCCTTTTTCTTGAGAGTATTCACCTGGCGAGGTGGGTTGTATTTGAAGTAAGATGCAGAGGCTAATGTTCTTTTTGGCCTAAAAATGACATCTTCTTCAGTAGGATTCAGGCAAAGTACATGTACTTGGCCATCCTTCATGAGAGATAAGCTTTGTCCAGTAATTAGGTTGTCCTGTTGTTGATTGTGGACATATATGTCAGCTTCATGTCTGACTATTTGGTTTGATGTAGCAGGTTTAGTAAGTACCAATAATTGAGAGAACTTTGGTACTACTGTAGTTATCACAGGATATAGTTGAAAACAATGTCCTGTTTTGTAGTCAGGTACAGGATCAAGATTGATAGCAGATAGTCTCTTGATCTTGTATTTGGAGATCATTTTGGTAAAAAATGGAATTTGAGTATTGTTGAGTTGAATTTGTCTCATTGGGTAGTCAATGATGGCATGTAATTTTTGTAAAGCATCTCTTCCAATGATCCCTTCAAATCCAGGTTGTTGTAGGTCAATGATGATAAAGTTGAGAGGAACTGGAGTGGCAAGATATATTTCTGCAGTCAATTCTCCTTGAATATTGACTTTGTTTCCTTCCAGAGTTGATATAGTTGTAGAGGTTGAAACAGGAAAAATGGAAGAGTTGAGGATTGTTGAAGATAATATAGATACTTTGGCTCCTTTATCTACTAGAAATTTCACTGGTAAATTGGTGACAGATGTATTCAGGAAGATGACCAGTAATTTCTGGGGCATTGGTTTAGAAATACCGGTCAGCACTCGTTTCCTGAGTCTGACACATCTTCTCCTGCAAACACTATTTATTCTTCTTCCTCTTCTTCATTGGATACAATATTTCTCTCTGTAACATGATTGATCTGCTTTTCTTGCGTAAACCCATAGGGCATATATTGTCCTTGTGGACGGATCTCATTTGATTTTTTGTAGGAACTTCTTCTTTGAGGACTTTTGCTTCTGAATCTCCTATGTGGGCTCCTTGAAGAAGATCTGGTGTTATTTTGGATTCTTCTTTGTACAGGAGTGGAAGGTCTTCTTGGTCTTCCAGCGGGGATCTTCCTCTGATGCGATCCTTCCCATATGTTGTTGGTCTATCATTGAATCCCACATGTTTTCTTTTGTGTTGGTCATGTCTTCTGGTGTTGTGATAAAAGTCCTTTTGTAAATGACCAATTTTTCCACAGGTATAGCAAGTCCAGGTTTCCTTTTCTTGGTTGTGGTTGCTGGTGGAGAAATTAATTTGCTGGATCCCTTTCTTTAGATGATGCAGTTTGTAGTCATCTGATCCTCTGGCTTTGAGAATTAATTCTTCCATGTTGATAGCAACTTCTATTACATGTTCCAGAGTGGCAAGAAACAGAGGAAATCTTGCATAAATAGATTTTTGTACTCCTTGCATAAAGGCTTCTAGCATTTGGTTGTTCAACATTTTCTTGACTCCTTGCAATTCAATTAGTTCTTCTTGATAAAGAGGATTGGTGGTGATAGCAGGCTCATCTCCTTCTCTCCTGATCACCTTGAGTTCACTTGGTAATTCTCCAAGCATTTGGTTTCCAATTCTTTTGATGCAAGATGCATAGTCTAGTACTCTCTCATTTGCTCATTGCATGATGCGTTTCAGTTCTTTTGTTCCATTGCTGATAGCTGTTTTTTGGTAGTTATTTTGCAATTCTTGTAGGATATATCTGTAGTCCTTCTCAAAAATTCCGGATATGCCCAAAAGATGAATTTTGGTGGGTCCTTGGATTTTTTGAAGTAGGAAGGTTTTTAAATTACTATCAGATAAATTACAATCAGCCAATGCTAGTTTGAAGAGGGTCCACCATTCAAACCAGCTCTGTTTTTTGTCTCCAAAGAATGGAGGGATATTGTTAAATATAGTATTGGTGGCTTGTTAATTCACACTTGGTCCTTCTTCTCTTCTTGTTTTCATCTGGAAAGAGAGTGCTTCTGCAGCGCTTGGTCTTTGTAGTTCATCAATGGATAAGTTGTTTTTGAGGTAGGCTTCTTTGATGCCTAGCATTTTGTTGAGCTCTCTTCTCTTCTTTTCAGCTTTGTTGTTATTTAGCTGAGCCAATATTCTTGCTTGTATGCCTTCCACTAAGACTGCTGATTCTTGCATTGCTTGGACACTAGGTTTGAGGTCCTTGAATATTTCAGTCTAAAATTGTTTGGATGTCTCATGAGCTTTTTGTAGTTTGGTTAGAGTAATTTTTCCAGCTTCTGTTGTTTCTGGCAAAGCAAGCTCATTTTGTACAGCTTCCAGCTGTTGACTATATTGATTGATTTTCCATTCAGCCTTCTGCACCTGTTGGTTAACTGGCAGGCAAGCAAATTCACTAAATTCATCATACTCATCAGTCATTTTTAGTGACTGATTTTGTATGGGATTTGGGTCTTTTTTCTTTCAAATAATTGCAGGAACAAAATTAAAATTTGATGTCTCTTTTTCTCTCTTCACTGGAGTTTTTTGTTCTCCTAAGAAATCCTTCCTAGGGATGCGGAGATTTTTAAATCACTCCACCCATTGCTATAGTCTTTTCCTAAGCTCTCTGAGATGTCTCTCAGGGCTGTTTAAATTTCTAGCCATTTCTTGGCTTTCTTTCAATGTTGGTCACAATTTTCCAATAACCAAGATTTTCCGTTTCTCAGTATAAAAATGCTATATTTCTTTGTGTTCACAAAAATTGAGTACAATAGATTCAATACACTTCTGGGTTTCTGTTCACCCTTCCTGTGTGCAGAATCAGGGATTCAATGGATTCTAGCACTTTATCAGGGGTTATCTTTGGCACACAACCATCCAGATCTTGACTTAGAGGTCAAAGTTTCTTCCAACTTAAAACCTGAAGGAGATGCACTTCCAGACCTTAAAGGATGAGGTCCTCTTGGGCTGGGTAAATTCAGGTCCTGCTGATATCTTCATTCTTGAGTTTCACTTGCTTAGACAAAATATCCTAGCCCGAGTACTCAAGTTACTGTTAATTTTTAGCTTTCAATTCAGCAACCTCTACCAATAAAATTGGTGGACACAGGAAGGTGTCAGGGGATCTTTCTTGGGTTAGGGTACACGAGGATCATTTGGATTTGCTCAACTCACAATTTGTGTACCACTTGATTGTGATACTTGCGTTTTTGGAGGGGTTGTTGCCATGGATTCTTGGTGGAGATCCTTGGTTGGATCTGATCTAGCATTTTGCGCTATATATGGGGAGAGGAGACATCGCGGTGCACTTGCTCTCGGGGATGCAATTTAATTGATTCACTTAGTCAAAAATACACACTCAGACTACACACTTTTTGCACAATATTTGTTCGGAAATTAACTTTTAAATTTGCACTTTGTATACTATTGATACCATTGTAGAGGGGAAACTCACTCCACACAAAAAGAAATTCAAAAGGGTGGGTCAAATTCACAAAAAGTAAAAGACTACCAACTGCGCCAATTTGTTGTCCATAGACCAAGGTGAATAAAATACAAGTTCAAATAAAATATATCTTCAATATATTCAAGTCACAAATATTCCAAACATACAATCACACAAAATATAGAGATATAAAGATATTAAGAGAGTCTTACTAAATCATTATGCAAGTCTCTCTGAGAAATAACCACAAACAACTCTAGATTAATTCTGAGAAAATATACAGCAAAGAAGATATATATAAACCTTCTGACAACACACAGTATATGGGCAAGATATTTGCCTAGATTGAGGAACTGCGGGTTCCTTGAACACTAATGAATATATATACATCCGGGTATATATATGTTTACAAAATACACTTAATAAATACACTTGTACCTCCAACAAGAGGGTTCTTCCTAAATTTGCAAGTTCTTCAGAAAGAGGAGGGTCATATGTCACTGTCAACAAATAGCCAATACTATTGAGGAAATGAACATAAATGGGCATCATGCATTAATGCAGGCTGACACAAGGGAGGGGAACCAAAAAAAGAGGGAACAGCTGCAAGGAACCAAAAACCTTGTAAAAGAGATTTTAACCCAAATAAAAGCGAAGAAAAGAATAAAGAAGGAAATCAGTTTCTGGGTTACAACTCGCATAATGACCAGGATGTCCACAATTATAACAAGTGCGTACCGTTTGACTAACGCTAGTTGTTACTGCTGAAGTACGGAAGACTCTACAAGACTCGGCCTTCTGTTGGAACTTCCACCGTTTCTCAACATTGGTGGCGGCCTCTATTGCTTGCTCTAATGTTACTGGGACAACACTGAATCTCTTTATAAAGTCAGGTTGCAAGCCTGCCATAAAGTGACTCAGCATTATCTTGTCTAATTGAGCAACTCAACATTTGTGTTGCAAGGTCTCTTCAGCCAACATAGGGTTGGCAATTATTTTTGGCTCAGAATTCTTGACTTGTGAAACTTTGATCTTACTTGGGGCTTCTCCCAACATCTTAAGACCAATTTTCATAATATGCACAGAATAATCTAGGATGTTTTCTAGGTCACCCTGCAATATCTTTTGCAGTTTTAGCATGCTCAAGCCCATCAAATCACCACCGTATGCCTTTTTGAGAGCTCTCACTATAATCGGATAGGGTTGGTCTAGCAATCCCAGAGTGGAATTGTTCAAAAACTCTTTTGCTTTTCCAGTAACTTGTTGACAAATTACTGATCTCACATGTGCATAGGTTACTTTGCAATTGGCTAGAGCTAGTAGGACTTCATTCCACCAGTCTACCCAAGTGTCTTCAGCGCCAAAGAACATAGGGATATTTGCCAAGATGTTATCGGCTATGTTTTTATTGCCTTTGTAAGCACTGGAATCACGTAAAGTCTTCATATTGTGAAAAACTACCTTGTCCTTTGTTGGATCATCTAACTGATTTAATGTGAGCTCTCTTGATTGCAATTGATTTCTAATGCCTAAGGCTTGTCCAACCTCAGCTTTTCTCCTTTAGGTCTCATCTTTCAAGTGAGCAGCAAACAATGATAACTGAGTAGTCTCAATGGCAAGCGTGCTCTCTGAGCACTGCCAGGTTGGGAGTGAGAGACTTTATTATTGAATTGTAACTCTTCAACTGGTTGGCTTGGAACTCAATTTCTCTAGTTAAAGTAGCTCTTACTTCAGCAGATGGTCTGAGTTCGTTATCTCTTTTGGCCAGGACTCTGACATTTTCAGCTTGCAGCAACCTCACTAGTTTGGTCAAGTATCCGACCACAGCTTCAGGAGATTCATTTGCTATTCTAGCCTGATGGACACTGGGGAATTCATCTACTCTAGGGGTTGGCAACGGCATGGTGTTTCTCAGGGGTTGGTTGTCCAAAAACACTTGGCTCACATAGTCACTCTTAACACTCTCACTTTTGCACAGGGAATCTCTTTTTTCAGTGACAACTAGTGGTTTGAATTACTTTTTATCCTGACTGGGTGCTGGCTTTTTTGCACAAATCTGTACACGATTCGTGAGTGATAAATTTTAATTTGTTGATCTGCAATTTGACTACTTGACTTTCCTCAAAAGCACTTTTACCTCAGTCTTTCTTTTTCTCGTTCAAATTTGTGCACTAGCGTTCGCATCACCTGTAAGAATTACTACACTTGGTGCACTTTAAATGCAGCAACTCTAGGGATCCACCCCCCCCCCCCAAAAAGAAAACTACAGCTGCGCCACATTTGTTATCCAAAAACTATAATTTAAAAGTTAGTGGTCAACAATGATCATTCGTTGATAACTGACTTTCTATAATCAGTGGAAAAGGGGATCAGAGATTTAAATCGTTTTCCGCAACTTTTGAAGGAAACACAAAAGTTACTCCATGAGAGCATTTTAAATTATTATTTGTTATATCTTCACACGCAGTCAATACAATACAATTTCTACAGAGCAAAGCAGCATGGATTTGGCGTTTGGTCAGAGTCTGGTGTGGTAAACTTAACGCAACATAAAATGCACCTGTATATATAGCTTTGGCCGGCCAAAGTCAAAGAAGGCACATAGAAACCGATTTGGATCAGGGACGTCACACTTTGTTTATTCAAAGGAAGGAAGCGTGAGTGCAGTTGGGAAAGTATTCTGTCAACAATGAGATTGGGAAATATAATTGCTAGCGCACCAGGTGCAGCCAAGCATAGCGGAAATACATTAGCTTAAAAGGGTTGTGCAGAAAGTGAAGGGTGTTGTGGTCATTCATATGACTACAAGAGCAAAAAACATTGCCATATGGCAACAAAGTTAAAAAGAAAAAGAAAGCTTTTTCTTCTTTGTGCCAAGTGATTGTTGTCAGCTGGTCTGAATTGTTCTAACTTTCCCTTGCCCCTTGCCACACTCATTAATGCAGGACCCTTGTTTCCATCATTACCTCCCGTAATTACAGTTCTCCCCAGGTGGTCGACCGTCCCATAAATCTCTAAAGGAATATGTTGTTGCAGAATGCTTTTGTGTCTCCTTTATATGTCTGGCGTGATGTCCATTGCTGGTGCAATGACCCTCTATTGTCTGGTTTCTCTGGAGTTAATAAAAGGCCTTGTTCAACCCAGTGGAGATCAATGGTAAAATACCCTCTGAGAGGAACAGAGTCCGTGGTAGGCTGATTGTATTTTGCATATATTTGAACTGTAATAAATACTTGTAAGTCTATCTTACTTGTGTTTTATTTACTTAATTGTCTTGAGTACTTAAAGTACCAGGTCCAGGATCCGCCTGGTAAAAGAGGTGCAAATCTAAATAATATTTAAAAGTTGTCTGCACTTCAAATCAATTATCCTCTTAAAGGTTACCAATAACAAATTAAAGTTTGTATTGGTTGTAAAATTGGAAGTGTATGATGACACACTAGAATTTAAATTTTGAGCTACTCAGCTTGAGTTTAATTAATTTCAATCAAAAAGTTCCTGTCCAAATTGGTCAAATACAGTGAGACCCCAAGATGTGGATTTACCAGTAATTGGTGCATCAAGAGTGTCCCTAAGTTGAGTCTCATTTTCCCTTAGGCTTACATTACATAATTTTCAATTGGTGTTTTATGGACAAAATACTCACCATGATTCCATAAAAATAAAAATTGTCTCCCAATTGAAACTGATTCAGTTAATATGTTTCAACACAACATGGACATTTGGGGAATTGAATACTAATACCTCTGGACAGAACATATAGATGTTTGAATTCTCTGCATATATAACAGTCAAATTAAGAAGAGAGAAGCAAGTCCCTGTATGCTGGAGGTTTTTTTTAATCAGCTAAATGGATGGTAAACTGGTTATCAAAATACCAAAAAACTTTTGTACTTTTGTTACATTTATTTTAGGGTTGGAAATATCTGTTTCTTGTAATTGGGCCAGAAAATTATTTGCAATTTTAGCACGAAATGTCACACTGCTCAGTCAGTGTCCTCATGTTGGGCCTTTTTTTTATTAATTATTCAAGGCAAAAATATGTGTCCTTATGTCAAATTGACTGCAAGCAGAGGTATCTGCATGTGGGAGTCTCACTGTATCTTCCCAATGCGTGTCAAGCACTTAACAAGTTTTGAAAATGTATGTCTTTGATGAACACCCCTTCTCTCCCATCAATTTTGAAATAAAAGCTACTTGTGATGCTTGAGAAAGTCCAGTAATTGGGTGAATGTACCTTTGCTTCAACTTGACGCATCTGAAGTGAATATTAATATTTCCAAGGTCACCTGAATGCATTATACAAATGTGAATTATTCTTCCTGAATTTGTTTCCAGTGTGGTGAAGAAAAGAGAAATTTGGTGCATAGTTAAAAGCTGTGCAGGAATTGAACAATAATAAGTGCCGTCATCTCCATACAGAAGTAGCACAAATAACACACCTACAAATATTAGAGCTTGAACAAATGAATAATGGTTGCATGCCAACACCCTGCTACAATTTCAATCAATCAGTACAATATTGTACAGTATAGTTTTCCATCCTTCTTTTGTCCTGCCTGTGCACTCTGGCATGATAATGTCAATGAGTATACAAGAGCTCCATCAGGAAAGACTTTGAAATGATGGGAAAAATATGCATCACCCTATATGCTCTTCTTTTTTTAGTTTGAAGCCATTCCGCTTTTTCAGTCTTCACACACTGTGCTGTTGTATAGTGAAGTTTTTTGTCAACAGGTTTCACACCAAATGAGTACATCTTATACAGACTATTTACTGTGTATTGGGAATACACACAGACTCACAGAGACAGTAAATGGAACAGGCAATTCATCTCCCATATCTTATTTTTTATATTAATATTTCCAAGGTCACCTGAATGCATTATACAAATGTGAATTATTCTTCCTGAATTTGTTTCCAGTGTGGTGAAGAAAAGAGAAATTTGGTGCATAGTTAAAAGCTGTGCAGGAATTGAACATTGATAAGTGCCGTCATCTCCATACAGAAGTAGCACAAATAACACACCTACAAATATCAGGGCTTGAACAAATGAATAATGGTTGCATGCCAACACCCTGCTACAATTTCAATCAATCAGTACAATATTGTACAGTATAGTTTTCCATCCTTATTTTGTCCTGCCTGTGCACTCTGGCATGATAATGTCAACGAGTATACAAGAGCTACATCAGGAAAGACTTTGAAATGATGGAAAAAATATGCATCACCCTATATGCTCTTCTTTTTTTAGTTTGAAGCCATTCCGCTTTTTCAGTCTTCACACACTGTGCTGTTGTATAGTGAAGTTTTTTGTCAACAGGTTTCACACCAAATGAGTACATCTTATACAGACTATTTACTGTGTATTGGGAATACACACAGACTCACAGAGACAGTAAATGGAACAGGCAATTCATCTCCCATATCTTATTTTTTTTCATCTTCTCCCAGGTCTTGATAATAGGTCCCTGTTTGCAGTATTCTATTTCCAAGCAAGTCAACCCCCAAGGGATGAGACCCAGTATTATATAACAGATGAGAGGGGGGGATAATAGATGTCCCCCTGATGTGATGCCCTGGCATCCTGCCTTTAAATTGCTGCTTTAACCCTGTAGCTGCTGTTGAATGGAATGACACTCTGTTGTTGATTGTCCACCCGACAAAGTGTATTTCTGCTACTGCTGTTGAGCACTGAATATAAATACAAAAAAAGGGCATGAAGAAGAAATGAGTGGGGGTGGGGAAAATGATGCTGCTGATGATGGTCATTCCTGAGCAGAAACTGTTTCCAAACAGCAGCATAAGAATGGGAATTTAAAAGTAGTGGTTCTATTGAGGGTATCTCTTTTCAATCAATTTTATTCTCTCCCAAGATATGCTGCTGTATATATACTGTATTACATACAGGACAATTGTATATATGGATACTAGAGTGTTGAATAATTTTATGCTTTTTTTGGTGTGTGCTTTGGGGGTTGCTTTTGGGTTTTTGCTTTAATGCCTTGATTGGAAAGACACAAAAAGCAGTCATCCCTTGGTGTGTTGGGGTGCTGGGTGACATTCAATGAATACTTCTGGTATAGTTGTTGAGAGTGTTATTCTCATCAGTCCCCTGTGTGATGTGAAGTGCACACATTAAAGAGGGGGGATGGGAAATTGTTTTTCACGCCTTTTGGGATTATCAAGTGATGTATTAATGCTAGCATCTGCTGGAGGTGGCCATTATTTTTCTCGAAGAGAGAAAGAGAAGAGCTCTGTGTTGTATACAAGAAGCTCTTTTCTTGAAGAATTTATTCATCCTTTTGAAAACATTTTTGCAGCTTGAATAAACATGAAATTTGTAATTTGAGTATACAATAGTAAATAAGGAGAGTTCGAATTTTTAACAAAAATGTAAGCAAAACACAAGATTAATTGAATTTTTCCTTTTTGAGGATACAAACAGTATGTGGTAATATTTTTACTGCTCGCAATTAAACCACATATTGTAGATAGAACTTTTTTTCTGAAAAATGAGACAGACTTTGGTTGAAGATCTTCTACAGTTTTTTTTTGTTTTTTTTCAAGACTACACCGGAAACGGAAATCGAGGGAAGAACACTACAAGGTGCAAGCGGATTTATTTTTGCTGTCTTCCTTTATATAGTTTATTTTTTGCTATAGTGCGAAACCGGAACTGAGCTCTGTCTCTCTCTCTCTCTCTTTTGGCGTTTATTTTGCATGGAATTGGCAAACAGTCTCAGCTGATGAAATTGGCAGGTGATGGGGATCGACTGCTGGTCGTGTCTTGATTTTTGCACGACATGCCGCCAATGTCAGTCAGTCTGTCTGTCTGTGAAATACTCTATGTACACAGGATGCCACTTGATGTTTCTTGTCTCTGCACCACCTGCACTGGGGTTTGTTTTTTGTTTTGTTTTTTTATGTGTCAGTCACTCACTGATTTGTCAGTTTCATCATCATCTCTCTTTTTCTCCTCTTTTTTGTCCTTTTCCTTCTGCTTCTTCTTTTGTTGTGGCTTCTTGATTATTTGTACACAGGATGTTGATGAGGTTAATAATGGCACTAATTAATAGGCAATATAATTTTATTGTTGGCATTCTGGCTGCTGCTGGTGTTGGTGAGAGAAAGAGAGAAAGACTCTTGATATATATATCTAGGAGGGTTCATTTCTTTAGGATACTTTTTTGACTAGGATTCCTTTACAAGGTATCGTTTAAATCAAGATTTGTGTATCTCTTTTAATTGAGTGGTACAGTACAGTGAGACCCCCACATGCGGGCACCTATAGACCTGTGGACAATTTGACAGAGGGACACTTATTTTTTCATTAAAATTTAGGTACAACATGAGGACACTGACTCAACATAGGGACATTTTGTTATATAATTGCAAATACATTTCAGGCCAAATTACAAGGAACAGGTATTTTCAATGCTGAAATTGATGTATGAAATTTTGTAGGGCATTTCTCTCCCCAATTTACCATCCATTCAGCTAATAAGAAAAATTACCATCCAGCAGAGATAGATGGTAATATATCCTTCTCTCTTTTTCACTTGAATGTTATATTCCTTCTCTCTTTTCACTTGAATGTTATTTTTACAGAGAATGCCAACATTTCTATGTACTGTATACAGAGGTTATCAGTGTTCAAAATCCCAAATGCCCATATTTTGGAATTGTTGTGAAACTTCAGTTGGAGGTGCATAATATTATTTGAACGAGTGTCGTGACTTTTGAACCAACCATCGAATCATTGCATCTCGCACAGAACCGAGGAACATACAATAATAACTAGGTATTAAACAGCACATGAATATGGCTGATCTCGACACTGTATTCCGCGTCACGACAACGACGATCGACAGGAGGAAGAGGAGGAAAGGAATGCGCGTTATTAGACCTCGTCGTCGTTAGTCGGCGTGTGGCTGCTGCTGCTGGCAATTATAGTCATTCTTATACACTGAATATAACACACACACACACACACTCACTTTAACACTAAGGGTGTGTCTGTGTGCCTTCTATTTTTATTTTTATTTTCTTCTTCACCAGTCCCCTCAATTAGGGATTTATTGCTATAAATAAATAAATAAATATATATATATATATATATATATTTATTTATTTATTTATTTATTTATTTATTTATAGCAATAAATCCCTAATCCCCTCAATTAGGGATTTATTGCTATAAATAAATAAATANTGCCCAACAGACAAAATCCACCAAACAGACTTCTTTTGGTTTAAAATTAGTGTTGAAAATTGAAATTTTCAATTTTCATGTAATTAAATTCGTGTAAAGGACTTTTCGTCTAACAGACTTGTCCCTTGCACAAATAAAGCCCGTTAGATGGGAGTTGACTGTATATAAACATCAGCAGGTGTTGCATTTCTGAGAACTTGAATTGTGCAAGTAATCTTTGTGATGTTTCTCACCCTGCTGTTGAATTGTAACAAATTCTGCCACAGCATATTTATATGATGGTCAAAGTTTTCCTTGAGAATGTTTTGTGGTGCTGTCTGAAGGGGAATGACTGTTGGGAAATATATTATATTTTTTTTGTGAAGGATTTGAAATTTACCCAAAGTACATGAAACATTCCTAAACATTGGTTTGAACATCAGTAATATGTTCTCATGTACCACAACAGATGCATGTGTTTACTAGAACTTCAAATATGTACCTTTTCATGTTAATCTACCTTTAACCACTTGACACTTTTAACAATTTGCATGCTACAGGGTTGAATCTAGTGTAGAAGACTCAATCAAGTCCATTTACATCATTACATTTAATGAAGATGTTGACCAATATATCATGTATAACACTATAGGATGAATGTAAGTTTCATACTTTGAGCAATACAATTGCAAAATGCCTTTTATCTCATGAGCCATTGCTGTTCAAAGAAAAAGGCTCACAGATTACCAAAATAATGAATGCTTATGATTTGCAATCATGATTATGTATCATTGAGTCAATATCGCAGCTATATGCTAAAGGATCTGAGAAGTTACATCTTTCTTCGTTGCTGAATATTCTTCACTTATTTATTCCTTCAATTCTGCACAATGTATTTCAATCCGTTAACAGAACAGGTTAATGAAGAATTGCTTTCTGTTTAATGGTAAAAAAAAGCTGCAAAGTGTAGCATATTCTTTTCATTAGTAACTCTGTATGATTTGATGAGAATGCTTAATTTTCATGACCATGAAATTAATGATGCAGCATTTTCCTGACAACAAGGATTGGTTTAAATGGGTGAATTTTTGAATGATTTGGATAGAAATGTTTCTCAGACATTTCATATCACCCATATACATATGGGTGATATGATTTTATATCACCCATATTAAAGGAATACATTTCCTCAAATGTAATCTCTGATGTATTCCACAGCACTTGTCCATTGTTTGTAGTTGAGCGACATCTAGAGTCAAGAGTTTGTTTTTACTCACGAGAGGGTGTTAGGCACTAGTTACTCTCCGGTATGACAAGTTTAATACAGTGTCGTGCCACGCGAGGAGAATATCGGAAATTCGTGACTCTGGTTAAAATGTTCGGGTCATGCCTGACGAATGTTCCTTACTTTACGCAAACGCTGATTGCCAACATTTTGAACTTTTTTGGATCTGTGCTAACTTCAGGGTTTGAATGACATTTTTGACGGCCCCGAAACGGACCATTCGTGTGTTCAGACGGATGGTGTGTACCGCTGAAACTTTTATTGCGAGTGTTTCACGTCCTTCGCTGTTTTTGTGGGTTTCAGGAGGAAAATATACCCGAAGTTGAATGGTGAACGGAATCCGAAGGTGTTCAACTTCCTAATCGTAATATTTTGTGGCGCATATCTGTCGTTCTAACGGTTTTCGTCGATGTAAATCCATGGAGTCGCCGACACTGTAAATTCCAAGTTGATCCCATGAAATTATCGGTCGTATAACCTATTGCATTTTACATCTGTGTAGAGATTAGCAGAGTATCGTGTTTTCGATTGGCAGTCAGTTTGAAGACGACTGGTGCATCGAAAGTGCCCGAAGGAGTTCCTGCTCCCGTCAACGAGAAGTTACCAACGAAGAAAATGCTCGACGGAGAATTGAGCGAATTCCATCCTCCCGGGGTTTCGTGGAGAGTAGCAGTTAATGACGAACGAACGAATCGGAATTCTGGTCAAGATTTCGAAGGTCATCATGCTGCGGTTTCAGAGCTATGATATTGAATTCGTGGACTTCTCGTTCCTGAGAGGGTGTATATTGAGCTAAAAGTTTAGTAGCGATCGATGCTTCGTCTTCGACTTCAAACGAAAGTTTGCGATGAACAGTTTTGATCCGGTACTCACGAGGAACACCTCATCCGGGACAAAATATCGTCCCAACATTTCTCAAGAATTCAGTCCGTGTAATTTTGGAAGATTTCATCGTTTCCATAAAGAAACAAGTGAAAAAGGGAACACTCACTGATTGGCTGATGCATAGTAGATTGGCATGAGATGTAGAGAGGTCTTCGTCTCACGGATTTTCGGCATAGCGTGCACTGTGTTGTTCGATTCAAACACGGTGTGGTTGCAAGGATCGCTAACCATGCGTTATGGCAAGGATCGCTAACCATGCGGTATGGCAAGATCAACAGAACAGGGATGTTGAATAATTCGAGAGTAGGAGGAAGGCACTTTCCAGAAGAATGTATAGATGTCGCGAAAGAAACAGTACGAACTGTTTATTGTAGATGGAGCTAGTAGTCTGGGTCCCCCCAACTAGGATAGCTCCAAAAGTTTATTAGCGATCGATGCCTCGTCTTCGACTTCAAACGAAAGTTTGCGATGAACAGTTTTGATCCGGTACTCACGAGGAACACCTCATCCGGGACAAAATATCGTCCCAACATTTCTCAAGAATTCAGTCCGTGTAATTTTGGAAGTGGATTGAATCATACGTTTTCCGCTTCACCACCGGCTCTTTTCGCGTGATGAACGAAAGCAATTCCTGCTTTCCATTGTTCTTTGTTCTTCCGTCGAAAACTGCTTCACTGAGTGATTTTTGTGATCTGTAGTTCGTCGATTATCCGGTCTTCACGGAGCTATTCTGTAGTGTAAATAAGTTCTGTTCGTGTACCCGTTTTTGACAAGTGAGAAGAAGCTGATTCTGTTTTTTTTGTACGAGATGTGAAATGATGCTGAAAAAGAGAGCAGAGGAGATTTTGGGCGCCGTTTAGCAGGTACTGTAAATCGCTGTATCACCAACAAAATGGTCACCATCATCCGGAAGGTAGTATTTTTTCTGAAGAAATTATTCCGTCATACTCTTCGTTTCTTCTAGAAATTAATTATGGTATTGTTTGTTCATCATTCTTGTCTCATTCTGAGATTGTCACTTGGTAAAATGCCGATCTACTGCGTCATCTCGCCTTCATCTGTTTTATCTTGGTCGAGAAAAGGTAGTCCAAATGATGAATATCTTTTCTCGGAACGGCGAACTGTCGGTGCTTCAGAAAGTGGTTCGATCTCTGCAAATTTGTGATTGATTTTTGTCTTTCTTTTACAGTTTTCCTCCGGGATTGGATTGTGGACTGCGATCGAAGAACTTGAGGATCGGGAACATTTGAGCGTTATTGTATTTTTTACGTGGCTGAATTACGGCTGATGTCAGACGTTAGTCAAGAATTGCATTGCATTCAAAAAACTTTGATGATATTGAGAATGAATATTGGTGATTTTCAACTGCCATTTATGCACTTCTTGTGGAAGAAGCTAAAAGAGGGCGAAAACCCTGGAAATTTTGCACTTGGGCCTTGGTTTTTATCGAGGCAGGAATTTTATCTTGTTCGAGAATTCTGCCGTGTTTCTTTTTATCTCAGTGGCCACTGGCTTATTTGAATATTTTGATTTTAAAATAATGAAAAAAAAACGTGAATTTGATGGTGTTTTCAAGGAACCTCGAGAACAGAACCAGACGATTTCCATACGCAAATCAAACGATAATTGCTCTCGAACGAACTGTACTTTAAACGCATAAACTTTCTCGCTCCACAGACGAAATTATGAAGTAGATTCAACGAGTACTGTTGTTGAGTACTGCGGAGTTACGCGTCAAATTTGAAACTCTGTTCAAGTACTTCATGTGGAAATTAACATGAAACGAGGTTTTCTTCCATCTGGTCTGGAGTTTGTTTTCCTCTCAAGATTGATGAGTGCTTTGTGTTGTTGCTCAAGTGGACTTTGTTTACTCTGTTTCTGAATATTTTATTTAGGATTGATATTTAATACTTGTTTATGGTATGGTTTTGCTGCTCAAATTTAAAAGAAATTGAGGCAGGCAAGTGATCTTTGTCTCATCATGCATGATATTAGCTGAAGTTTTAGGAAAGTGATTCTTGAAACATGAATTATTTGTGAGTGCAATTCCTGTGAAATCTGGGTTCCTCCTGGAATTTAAGCTAAAAAAATATAGATGGGTTTTGTTTTGTATGTCTAAGTCAAGTGTGTGTGTCATGCTTGTCTGTATCATTCATACTTGATATTGTCTCCACCTGATGATTATATTGCTGACATGGATCATTCACAGTCAATCCCTGCTTGAGAGACTTACTTTGTGCATCAGACCAGTCTGTTATGTCAAGTCAATTATTGAAATATTTTCTTTTTGCCATCATTTTTTAACCAACAGAAGTTTGTTAGGCAGATTTTGTCCATTAGACAGGAGGAAAAACTTTATCCGGAGGTTGTTAGTTGGGCAGAAATTCCTTAGGCAGGGGGGGTCTGTTATATGTGTGATGCAATTGGTGCATTGATGTGTACTCTGAAAATGTCTACGAACTACTCCAAACAATGTTGCATGTGTTGTACTCCAATATGCATTTTACAAAAGAAACAAAATATTTCAAAGAGTGCAGTGAGTAAATACATTTCACCCTTTGTTCACAAACTTATTGATTCTTTACAAAAGTTTGTTAACCAAGGGTTCAATTTACTGGGCTGCATTTGAATTTTGCCTTGATAGGAAAGAGTTGGGAGTGATATACAGTATTGATCTTTCTCTTGTTATGTGTGCATAAGAAACTAAGAATCATATTCTGACTGTGATTGTGTGTGAAATGGACCTGTGAAGATAGCATGCTTACTCAAGTACCAAGTACCTTTCAAGAAATCCTTGTGCAAAGCTGAAGACACTTGTCATTTATGGATCCATTAATAAGAAACAAAAATGCACCCTTGAAAGAGAAACTAGTGCACTACAGCACTTGTATTTCTTACTTCAGGTCACTTGTACCATCATACTATAGTCCATTCACTCAGGTAATGTATTGCAGGACTTATAACAAGGCCTTATAAACTTATGCTAATATTGTAATTGTGACATTAGCTTTCCTGACTGACCTTGTACCTCTGATTTACAGTCAACCCCTGCACAATGGACTTACTTTCTGCAACAGATTAGTCTCTTGTGTGAAAAGTCTGTTATGTGAATTCAAATGCAGTATCAAAAAATTTAAATTTTCACCTTTTTTCCCCAATAATTTCCAGCCAAAATAAGTCTGTTATGTGGATTATGTCAGTTGCCCAGGAGGGAAAACTGTTGCCAAAAGAAGTCTGTTGTGCAGGAGGTCTGTTGTGTGATGGTTGACTGTATCTCATTTGCTGTACTTGCTCAAGTACCTCTTATCCTTGAGTAAGATTGGTATTTGGCACTTACTCACAGACTTTTTAGCTCAGGGATTGGTTGTATACACCCTGGATGCCAAGTTCTCTTGACTTCAAGTCCAATAATTTTTTTTAAGATTCTATTTGCATTGAAAGGAACTTCTATTAATGCAACAATAGCAGCTGATTCATTGCAGAATGTGCTGGGCACTAAAGGAACCCAACCAAAGAACAGATGATGAAGGTGCAGTGGAAGAAAAACAGAAGCAATTTACCAGAGCAAATATTCAAGAGGACATCTTTCATAAGTGTTACTACTTGTTACATGACAATTTATCTTTCAATTTGATGACAAAGATTTGATATGTTTTGCAAGGATCACTAAGCAAGTGCATAAAGGAATTTGTGCCCAAATCCAAATGTGAACACAGATTTAAAACGTTTCAAGGATGAAGGAGGAATAAAAAGATAGCAGTGAATATTTCCAGTGAACTGCTTTTTAATTTGAATAGAAGTTCAGAGCTTATACATAAGATTCCCAGGGTGTTCTTGAAACAAATCTCTCCGCAACAGAATGGTAAGTGCCAAACAAATGTCCTCTTCCTTTATTTTTAGCTCCTCAGATCCAATAATGACTTAAATTATCACAGAACAGTATTTGAATTGATAATTGTTTGATGCATGTGCACATACCAACTTATCCAAACTTTCTGACCTATTTTAAAAGAAAAAGTGTGGGACACTTGCTTGAATATGTTTACCAATTTTTGGTTGACAAACAACACACCAAAGGTAGAATGATGCACAATTCAAGTAAGGTACAGTAGTTCACTCAATCATTTCATTGGTCAACCACCAAAAGAAGTGCAAATGAAATGAATGCTCCCTCAAACTGGGAATAGAGAAATCAAAATTGAAACAAAAATCTCAGTTATTTTTGTTTTCTTGCATGTTGCTGTGCCAATGATATATATTCTGTTTCCTCCTGAAAAGTATACATAGGTGGGTTCTTTTTTGAACTGTGTTCCCCAACCCTTTTGGACCCATGGACCAGCAAATTTTCATTCCACACATTGTTTTGTGGACTGGCAAAGCTTCAAAAAATTTTTGCACTCTCTTGAAAAGTTTTTCCTAAAAAATGTATGGTAGGTACAGTATTTGAACAATTTCTACATTATTTCAAAAATCAAGTTAATAAGAACCAATGTATCTGATATACAGTGGCCCCCCGCCTAACAGACCTCCCATGTAAGGGAATTTTTGCCAAACAGACCAGTTCTGCAGGCAGTTTTTCCTCCTGCCCAACAGACAAAATCTGCCAAACAGACTTCTGTTGGTTTAAAATTAGCGTTGTAAATTGAAAGTTTTACTGTTTTATATAACTGAATTGGTCTAAAGGACTTTTTGTCTGACAGACTTGTCCATTGCATGAATTAAGTCCATTAGACAGGGGTTGACTGTACTTTACTTTGCTTCTGGCCACTTCCAGCTTTAAAAAAAATCTACATTCACAGTCCAAGCATCAAGTACAGGTGGTACCTTGCAATTCAACCTCCTGCTTGAAAGTCAACTTGCAA